TTTAGGCAAGGTCCAAACAATTAGACAGGGGGAGGCAACCTTTCATAGGTACCAGAACAGGCTTCTGGCCATCTTTATCAACACATGAGTACATCTTATCTCAGATACATGCAAATAACATGAAATTCCTCCCCTGCTCTAGACACATATTTCCCCAATTTTCCCCTACTATGCCTTCCTAATCCCTTCACAAAGTTACAAACCCACACTCAACGTTCTCCCCTTGAGACACAGGGAATGATCTTCACAGAAGACAAGCTTGTTACAATACCTCAAGAAGGACTATCTTTGCTGGCAAAATTGGAAGGATTCTAACCTCTTTCCTAAGTAGGAGAAAGGGAACGTAAGTCTCCCTCTTATCTCCACGGGACTAAGGCAAAAAATAGCTCAGTGTGCAAAACAAAACTATTGCAGCCAAAGAGGGCAGGTTGTCCCACCACCAACGAAAAGGCCTCAGAGTAAGACAAAATTCTCAAGCCTGGGTAGAGTGCCTTCTGAGCATTTTCTCTAACTTGTCCAAATGAACTATTTTCAAAGTCTTGGATTTCTTTCTCAAAGGTCAAAGTGTGGGTAAATTAAACAAAAAGCACTCGGATGGACTTTGTTGGGGGTAGCAGTTAGGCTCATCGCTCTGAGACCAGCAAGGGGAAAGGTAGACTCTCAGAGGCTTGGTAGGTTATCCTGCCAGGGAGACAGGTGGGCTCATAGCCATGCACAATCAGGATCTATTTCCCTTGCAAAGGTGATCCTTTTATAACAAGGGACTTCACCCATTTTCTTCCAATGTATTCACATTATCCTGATAATGTTAATTATCATATTATTGTATAATATTATATTATAATATTATATAAAATATTACCTAATATTAATTATAATGATAATGATGAACTGAGGAAGGCTCATCAACTCTGGAATCACCAGATCTAAACATGCAATATCTCCATCCATTCCTTTTTTCACCTATCAGAGAGATCACCAAGCAAGCAGATATTCATGAGATTATTTCTGAATACAAAATTTGATAATTGGAATGCAAGGAGGCTGTTAACAGAGGAGAGCCGGAAGGTACAAAAAAGAGCTAGCTGTAAAGAAGTAAAGAAGAGAATGAGGGCATCATATATTTGACTAGTATATAAATTCAACAGGGGATCTTCAGACTATAATTTGCAGATCTGATGTTAAACAAGAGTTTGATTAGCCATTATTTATTAAATGAGCCACATTTAACTGGGTTCACAGAAAAAAAACTCTAACCATGGTTTACGAACCATCATAGTTGGGTTCACACAACATGGTAACTCAAAAAACATAATATACCTGTAACACTGCAGTTCGGCAAAATGCATGAACCCAACCATTCTGTTAAACATATGGCTGCAACAATTACCAATGAATTAATGTATTGATTAATGTGATGAACCATTCTCTGGATGGGATGATTCTTTACAATTTTTATGGCAAGGGAGCCAATTTAAAACAAGCCAGCATGCATTTCAGCCAATTTAGGGCTCAATAGGACCATGCTCAGTTATGAACTGCTCCATATCTAAAGGTTTACCAAGGATTGCATGCCCTGCAGCAGTACAATATCTGCAAAATAAATACAGGTTTGTGTTTATCAGATTCCCCAAATCAACAGTTGGCTCTACATCGGAAACTCCCAATTTTGTGTGGCTAGGCTTAAATTGAGAAAAGATCTAGATAAGGATTTTTATTGCAAGCTGAATTGGCAAGTTACATTTAAAGGGGATTGCCCTCTATCAGAATAAAATGCAGTTCTTTCTTATATCCAGGTCAGTATAAACCTATGGTTTATTCTTCTTGTCTTTCCCACATCTCGTCAAAGTCAATTTCGTGTGCTGAGTGGCAGTTGTTTATTGGCAAAACTAACATCTCCATTCCTTAGAATTGTTGACTCTTGGCTTACATCTCACAAAATTTGGATATATTGTGAATACCAGTGTAAAGGGCAAATTCACATTTCATATATCACCACAGTCAGTGCAGAAATATACTACTGCATTCCATCATTGTCTCCCCTTGTTAGATATATTCCCAAGAGGCAATAATCTACATTGTAAGAAACCTGAGGCATAAGAAAAGTAATAACCCATGAATTCATCCTAGAAAAGTTCTCAAATGAGAAGTACAATAGCATTACTGCTTAATAGGGTGTTTTGCATATCTAGCAGGCAGTGTACCAGTACTCAAATCTCCACATAGTTCCATTCAATGAACACTTAAGACAAGGAGTCCTACTAAAACAAAGAGACTGCACACAAATTAATGAATAATTTCTTTTCATCTCTGAAGGAAGTATCTGTCCTTGTGCAGCATTTTGGAGCCACAAGAAAAAAATATTGTTTCATTATAGGATATCACCAAACCAAAGAAAGCTTTGTTGAAGAAAACTACATGTATATGTTTTATCCTATTCAGCATACTCTTGCCAGGCCTAGTTGCTTCTACTTGCTCAAATTCTCTGTAGCATATATATAGAGGAAGAGCTAACAAAAGTTAACAATCAGAAATCCAGAAGACAACTTCAAGATGCTGATACATCTTAGGAAAGCACTGTGCATAAAAAAACAACACAGAAAAATCAGATGGGGTTTTCTCAAGAGAAACAGGATGCCAACGGGAAATTGTAGAGATAGTAAATATGGAAACTATCTAACATGATGGTTCGAATTAGAACAGGACAAGAGGCAACATTATACTCAAAGACATCAATTTATCTTTCCTGCACTCTATCTTTTGGGAATATAAAAGGTTAAAGAGGAAGCCGCTATGCTGCAAAGTAAAGCATCAGCATATAATTTCATCCTTATTTCCCCCACTTCATCGGGAGCATATAGAAATACAAACTGTGGATAGCTGCCAACCTACTGTATTGTTTGGAACTGAGTCTGATGCTTCCACCCATCGAAAGACAGTGGTAAGCAGGGTTAGAAGACTGGAATGGGGGCTGTCTGAAGATGAATGAACTTGCTAGCTGACCCTCTGCTAAATAGCACCATAGAGACTGATTATGCGCACACCATGGCAGCTGTTTTGCACCAAGGAAGCTTTTTCCTGGGAGTGCCCACAGCAACATGGAGAGAGAGAGAGAGAGAGAGAGAAGGTTGGAACAAATAGCATTAAAGGATACAAATCTAAGGGAAACGCAGTAACTGCTCTGCAAAGGAGCTTGCATGCATCTCCCAAACAATTTGTAGGATGAGATTTACTTCTCCTTTCCACTCAGATAGAACTTTGAATTTTTCTACCACAGAGAGCAACAAATAAGGAAAATGCCAGGCTAATGACTCCAGTTCCCAAAATACCTGGTCTATCCTGATTGAGAATTCTGGGAATTGAAGGCCAAAACATATGGAACTCATTGCTTTGGAGACGGATGGCTTAAAGAAACTTGCTGAAAGGACAACCAGAAAAAGAAATCAGATCTGCTACCAGAGTTACTGCTATCTAGACGGGGATTCCTATTAGTGAAAATAACAATAAAACCATGCATATATACCAGAGCCTTTTACTAATGTTATTCTGTTCTAAGCCCTACCATAAAACTGAAAGAGAGTTCAGCAGAATCTTCACGTAGCATATGAACTAGCTAGCCCAAGGCTATTTGCATGAGCAGTGCATACCAGAGAGTGATAAGGCAAAAGGGAAGGCAGAAATAACTTGAAGAAGACATGTTATACCCACATTCTTATTGATTAGATTTCTACATTGACCAAAGTGAAAAGATCCATGCATCAAGGAGTGTGACTGTTTTGCCAATCAAGTTTGGAAGGAGCCAGAAACCCCGAAATCAAACCCACAACCCCAGAACCCACGAATCTGTTTGCCCGGAGACTACAATGTACCATAAATCTCTCTCCCTTAGGGTCCACCAAGCTTCCTGATTTTTTTTACCTTAAATTTAAAAAGTGGAATAATCCCCCAGCATCATATTTATTTCCAAGAACATTTTAGGGCCCCAAATGTTTTTCTAGAAAACTAAGATGGTTGATAGCAATAGGCCAGTGTTCTCTTTGGGAATGTGCTCAGCTATACAGGCAAAGGACAGGGTGAGTTCTGGAGGAAGAGGGTTGGTACGTCACATTTTGGCCAACTAATTATTTGCAACTCATTATGTCAGGATTTTTTTTTAATGAATGGGCACCCTTCCCCCTCATCTTCCATGTTCTTAGTGCACCCACATTTTTCTAGTACACATACTGGTTACTGAGGCCCAGTATATACTGAAAATCAGTTCACTCAAGAAGATGCAGGGCTTGATCTAAAGGATGAAGCCATTTAGGTTCACCCTAAATAAGAGACCTCAGAAGAATTCAATGTGCGCTCCCTTATTTATAATAAAAAAGTAAGATGGATCTACTTACAGAGCCTCCAAACCACAAAATTATTTTACAAAATCAGATTTCTTTCCTTCCTTCCCTTTTTGTGTGTGTGTGTGGGGGGGGGTCACCAATAATCGAGTCAATGCATATATACAAGAATAACCCAGACTTTGTGGGTTATCTTAAACAGTCTGTGAGTTAGCTTCCTATAATAATCATTGTTTATCTTTCAGATGCCAGTGTTTTTCCCCCTCCCTCTGCAGCTACTTTAGAACAGGCACAAGCCTGAGGGCAAGTAACTTTTTGTTGTTGTTGTTTCATTTCATTTCCTCAGCTGCACTGGAACAGCAACCTAGCTGGGTTTTTCAAAAAAAGGCCAAACTCTTTCACCGGGAAGTGAGAATTGAAACCATGCATAAGTACAGATACAGATGGATGCTAAAGGAGCGCTTCCTAATTTAAGAGGCTGCCGCATATGGAGAACTCTCATCTTTTCTGCTCAGAATTCAACCGCAGCTCCTACTACTCCCCCGTAAGCGCTTTGATGCCGGTCCCATGCCAGACGCAAGAGCATCCGGGAAAAGGGAGGATTTTACTAGACGGAGGTTCCTCTCCACAACGAAGACATTTCGGGCAGGGGCGCGGCACTCTTACCCAGGCGGGAAGCTCGTTCCGACCCAGGCTTCGGCCCAGATCCACGGCGCTCTTCACCGTCACCTCTTCCTCGCCCAGGATCTTTCCGGCAGTCTGCAACGATCGCTCCTTGTTCAGTCGCCGGCTCCGCCAGCCCATGTAAAGGGCCACGCCAGCGACTACGAAGCCCACGCTGAGCCCCGCCCGGCCGGCCAGATACACGGGCAACAGCCACAGCAACCGCCGTCCGATCGCACCTAGCGCCGTCAAGGCTTCTGCAGAGCCGAAACCTCCCGGCAAACGCGATCCCGAACTGGACGGGATCGGATCTGACGGCCCGGCTTCTTGCTCCGTGGGCCGCTCCATGGTGCTTCCAGCCAGGACCGACCGACCGACCGACCGGACCGCTTTAAAAGCACCAGGCTGGCACTGCGGCTAACTCAACCGCTTCTGGAGTCCCGCGGCTGTTGCAGTCATGGATCGAAGAGGCGGGGCGTGGTCGAAACAACGCCCCTCCGCGCCAGCGGATTGGAGGATGAGATCCCCTGAAGGCGGAGCTAAGGCGGCAATAAGCGAGGGGGGGGGAAGGGGGGAAACGGCGTTCTTTGATTAGACCAGATTCCCGGAGGAAGACACGGCAGGACCAGAAAGCCCCGCCCTTCCTTGTCCTGATTGGGCAGCGAGTGTTCCAAGATAATGGAACTAAGCAACGGCTTTCTTTACAGTAGTTTTGACTTGGCTGCGCGCTCGGTGGGCGGAGTTTTTCAGAAAATCAACTGTTGATTGGTAGACTGCTTGTTGGGCGGGCGGGACGACAGGCGTGGCAAACTTTGCATCACTCCGAATTCGTAGCTTTGGGGCAGGAAGTCGAGGAGAGACGCATTGCTTTATTATTCTTACGTATTATAAAAAGCCAATTTTTTCTCTCTTAATTTTCTTAACGGACTGGTCTTTCTCTTTTCTTGTTATTCCTGAAATTTTCCAAGAACCGTCCCAAATTGCGAGCAAATCCAGGTTCATTAAACCAGCAATACAGAGAGGTAGCAAACAAGTAATCTAGGGGGCTCAGCAATTCTTTACCAAAAAAATGAAAATAAAAACAAAACCAACGATCGCTAATAATACAAGATAAAACTGAAAGAAAAACGAACAATTAAAATACTGAACATTCTTAAAAATTGGTCAGAATAGTGGACAGGGTTTTGTCACAGCCAGTCGTTTAATTACCGAATTATATACGAAAACAAAAGGCTTTCAGTGTTTTGACTCAGCAAGTTTGTATTTCTTGAATCCATCCCACCCCCCAAAAAGTCTAGCAGATTATTCTAAATATTTTTGAGATTTGTCAGAATTTGCCCAGTTCCTTCTTGAAATACATTTTATCACCTGTAACAGTAGGATTGATTTCATAACTGTTTATTCAAACGAGCTTTTAAGTGCTAAATTTTCAATAAATTCCATATTATTTGGAAAAAAAACCCTAACATCTGTATTAATGTAAATCATTATCAATTAAAGGGGAGGTATATACAGTCATGTGAAACAGTACACCCCATTTAAAAAAATTTCTTTGAACTTATGTGGACATATTAATATTTTATCTTCATTCAAACAATATATAATTTTTAAAAACTATGAAAAAAATTAGTCGGAGTCATTTATTTAACAAATAAATGAACAGATACGCCATTTCTTTCTATGAAAACAGTAAGTAGATCTTTGGCTCTAGTACCAGGTATTGCTTCCTTTGACAAAAAAAAAACCTCATGCAAGCCTAACTATTCTCTGACATCTACTGAGAGGATTCCTTCTCCCCATTTCTCCATACAGTATTTTTTTTTCAACTGGGCAACAATGCTTGAGTTTCTTGGATGCAGTGCCTGAATTGAATCACTCCACAGTATCGTGATGGAATTTAGATTCAGGCTTTGACCTGGCCACTCTAGAACTCGGGTTCTCTCTCTCTCTCTCTCTCTCTGTGTGTGTGTGTGTGTCTGTGTGCCATTGCTTGATTTGTTGTGTTACAAGCTCCATTTCCACCTGAGCTTCAGTCTGTGACTCATTCTTAAGCACCCTACAGGTAATACCCGGGGTGGGCTGCTGGGGGTTTGCAGGAGTTTGGGAGAGACTCTAGCTAAGATTCTGTCCAGTTTGGAGAACCCCCAACTTCCACTCCTGGCTGGCCATGCCCACCTTGCCCCTCCCCTCCTAGGAGTCCCCACACACCCCATTTTGGATGCAGGTAAATGCAGGGTGCGCGCAGAGGCTCAGGGAGGGCGAAAAATGGACCACCTGGAAGTTCGGGAAGATCAGGAATGGGTCCATTTCCGGCTTCCAGAGAGCCTCCGGAGCCCAGGGAGGCCATTTTCACCCTCCTGGAGGCTTGAGCAACGCCTCCAGAGCCTGGGGAGGGCATAAACGCCCCCTCCCCCCAATGTGGTGCAGGAGGCCGACTCGGCTATGCCCACCATGGCCATGGCCACCCAGCAACTGGGCAGACCTTTGCTAAAATGTTTGAAGCCCACCCCTGGTACTATCTCTTTTACTTATATGATGTTTGATTCCTAATACATTTAGTAATTTAGTTCCAGTAAATATAAAGGTACCCACACGCTTCACTTGCATAGTTCTTAATTCCATAAGAAAACCACCAGATTGTAAGAACACAAGCGAGTAGTGAAATGAGGAGACCGGAACTCATTGGTAGCCTCACACCGTAATGAACAAGGAAACACATTCAATTTTGCAGTTAACCAAGATTGTGGGATGAGCAGGCATAAAAACAGCCAAGGAAGTGATTGATGTCTGAGAAACAGGCCCCCCATCAGTCAACAGGAGTGCTGATTTACTATCAGCCTATTAAATAATTAGAAGGTGAGGGGTTGACAGCTAATGACTTAAAAGCCAGCCATCAACACATCCCAATCAACATTTTAAAAGCCACTTAAAACAGACACTATAAATACCACACATGCAAAATAGCGCACACTCTGCTAGAGAGAAGTTACCTGAAGATGGGCTCTAGCATGAGTCTGAAAGCTTGGAAGACAGAACCTCTGGTTCTGGTGTCTAGCGCAGCTTGGATCCTGCAATATTCTCATTCACTTTTATACAGAAACTGAGCTTATGACTTTAAAATACTTCTACCGTACCTTAAATGACAAAACTTCATTTTCTATAGAGGGTATTATGAAGACTGATGGGAATGCTTAATGAGACCGACTTTTTTGGTTCAACTCTGAAACTAATAGTTTGATTAAATTATTGCTCAATTTTAAAACTTTAGGACATTTTAAAATTCTTTTTAAAATGCTGAACATTATCCAAGTATATTCAATCCATTATGTTATTTTTTGAGTCAATTCACTCCATCATCTCTGACATCATCTCTGGATTCACAACACTGTTTCATCGAAAGAAAGCTTACAAAGATAAAATAATATCCATTTGTCTGATTGCATTTTATTGTTTGCGTGTCTAGCATTCCAACTTCAATAGGCTTGCTGTAGGTTCAAGGACTGAATGGATATGAAATTACCAAAATATTGTAACAATTTAGCCATTATCAAGCAAACAGAGCTAGCTTTAATTCATTTGCAATTCTGGCTACTGTTTCCCATCTTTCTCACTATCCCATGTTTAATTACTATATCATTTTACTTGTCTCCTAGTTACCGAAGCACATACAAACTTTCATTCCTAAATTCTCAAGGATCCTCAAAAGGGTGCTTTGTATATGGCACAAATAGTGTTAATTATCAGCAAGGGTTGGTAGCATGTTCTTCTCCTCCTCTGCTTTCAATCATTCAGAATAGAGCTGTAAGGGACCTTTGAGGTCTTCTAGTCCAACCCCTGCTCAAGCAGGAGACCCTATATCATTTCAGATAAATGACTGTCCAGTCTCTTCTTGAAAACTTCCAGTGATAAAGCACCTACATCTTCTGATGGCAAGCTATTTATAGAACTTAATTTGTAGAAATTAACTTTAAAGAATTTAATTTATAATAAAGGCAATAATTTGCATGCATTTTTAAAAGCCTGCCCAGATGAAATGGAAAAATTGTGTTTCTTAAAGACAGCTACTGTATAAATACAACAATTGAGGGGAGGATATTTTTCCCCTGTTTGAAAATCATCAATTTAATAAACAACTAAAGCTAAGAAACTTCACAGTTCCCCATTTTTATGGAAGTTAATATTTGGACTATAATATTTTATATGTGCCATATTGCCCTCAAACACACTATCACTGAGAATGAGAGCCATATATGAGGAATTCTGCTAAGCAAGCTTTTCTCCTCCTTTAAATGTTTTCTGTTCCTCAAAGACTGACATATAAATGTAATGAATAAATAATAAATATTTATCTAAAACCCAACAGTTAATACAGAATCTTATTTTCTGCTTCCTTCCCCAATGATTGCATAGACAGAAACAGTGGGACATAATCGCCTTTCCTCACTGTGAATTCCGGCTCTATTTTAGTTGGGCAAGATCAGGGGACAATCCTGTAGTTTTATACTGATTTCTTAAATAGTTTTCAAAATTAAATTCACAGATAAGAAGCTAATTCATATGATCCATTGAATACCAAGTGCAAGCTTAATATGAACTATGCTTCAATTCCTGCTAGTTTATATGAAATATAGTATTTATTTTCTGAAACGAGATTTGAAACATTTCTGAAAATATGTCCTCTATAGCAGTGGCTGTCGTATTATTACTTAAATTTGCCTCTTTTCTCCAGGTCACTGCCTAGATGTTCAGAATCTCTCTCATCTCCTAAACACAAAGTCAATCCAGATGCCATACAGATAATATATTTACCAGTTACATGTTGTCTACTGTGTACACAGCCTTTCGTAAAACAATTAATCTGCATTAGCTGAGCTTTTACTGACACTCTTTGCCAACAATCCTCGCTTCAAATGTTCTCATCTGGAGCTGCCAGAATTTCTCTTAAAAAGAGCACAAAGCAATTTGTCTGCCAGGATATTGAATAGCTATTGCTTGAAACTACAGGCACATTGTTTATGATCTGTATTTTAAAGCAATGTTTTAGCCAAAAAGACTGTGCCAGTGAAGCAATTTTGTATAATTTCTTCCAAGACTATTTATTTATTTTCATATATTATATAATTAATTATAACTAATTCAAGGTGCCGAACATACCTGCTTCCAGGGTTGGGATTCAATCGGTGTTACTACCAGTTTGGTGACTATGTTTTGCTGCGCACGTGTGTAAAAAACCTTAAGCTGTGCCACCCAGACAGCTGAAAAGTGCTGTGTGCGGGTGCAGTGTTTCAAAAGCCACTTTTTTCCTGCTTTTTCAACTTCAACTGTGCCACACAAAGCAGCTGAGGTCGAAAAAGCAGGAAATAAAGGATAGATAATAACCCAGGTGGGTGGGCGGGCCAAAGAGCAGCAAACACAGAACCAGTTTGGTGTCTGCTGCTCTTCAGAGCTACCGGTTCTATAGAGCAAGGCAGAACTAGTAACATCCCACCCTTGCCTGCCTCCTCCTATTTTCTCCACAACAATAACGCTGTGAGATGAGTTGGGCCAACACAGGAGGACTGGCCCAAAGTCACTAGCTGACTTTCATGTCTAAGGTGGGACTAGAACTCATGGTCCCCTGCCTTCCAGCCTAGTGTCTTAACCACTAGACCAAATTGGTATACTGTAAGGTAGTCAAATCGCCTTAATATCTAGTGTTTTCATGCCCATAATATTTCTTTGGCTAAAATCCAGAAACGGTTCCCTAACCATAAAATCCAGAAATGGTTCCCTAACCCTAACTGGAGTACTAGCCTGAGCCTAACTTTGCTCGCCGTTCTGAAGTCTCTAATTTTATTTTAGCTATTGCATTTCCTATTTAATATGTATTTTAAAAAAGACTTGAGACTTTTAATATACTAAATACATATCCACTCCCATCTAGCATCCCTTCAATATAAAAACAAGTTGTCTCATTTTACACTACCTATTACATGTATTTTTATAAACAAATAGTTCTCTGTAATTTTTATACAGCAGAGCGGACTGCATCCACTTTCCTGTTTACAGCTTCCCTTTTCATGCAGTCGATAAAGTTGGAATCAAGCCAGCTCTCCAGTACTAGATATTAAACTACGGATGAAACCCTGAGAGACCTTCAGTTCATCTGCTGCTCAGATACCACCCAACCTGAAAGAATTTGGTGCCATCTAAAGGCAGAGTGTGTAAGCTACTTCTAAAAGGAAAGGATGCTGTACTGTATCTAAATAACTGCATGCCTACCCTTTACAATATGTATAGTGTTGCTTTTCAAAATAAGCAACCTTTTACACACAGAAAAAGAGACAGTCAGCAAAAGAAATGAACATTGTGAAGCAAAAATAATAGAAATATAGTTAAATCCTGTAATTATATCCACCTCATGGAAGCCAGTTTGGTGTAAGGGTGATGGTACCAAACTAGAAAGCGGGAGTCTGTGCATTCTAGCCCTACTGTAGCCATAAAAGCCAGTTGGGTGACCTTAGGCCAATCATCTTCTCTCAGTCCAACCACCTCACAAGGTTGTTACTGTGGGAAAATAGGAGGAGAAAGGTGTGTTGGATATGTTTGCCGCCTTGAGTTATTTGTAAAAATAATAAAGGCAGGATACAAACAAAGAAAAAAGTAAATAAAATCACCCTGCCTTTGGCGCTGATCTTGATGGCCTTTCAGGAGGACCTGGCCCTTCAGGCTTTTCCATCTGCCCAGCCAGGAAATCAGAGTGATATGAAGCTCATAAAATGGCTGTATTCTTCTTGAATGACTGTGCTATCCCTGGTGACTGTACAGGTAGTCCCCGACTTACAACAGTTATCACAGCACCAAAAAAGGTGACTTATGACCTTTTTTCACACTTACAACCTTTGCAGCATCCCCGTGGTCACATGATCAAACATCGTATGTTTGACAACTGATTCATATTCATGATGGTTGCAGTGTTCACCCTTTGAAACCTTCTGACAAGCAAAGTCAATGGGGAAGCCACATTCACCTCACAACCGTATTACTAACTGAACAATTGCCATGATTCAGTTAACCATGGTTAAGAAGTCATAAAATGGGACAAAACTCACTTAACAAATGTCTCATTTAGCAATATAAATTTTGGGCTCAATTGGTTGCGGACTACCTGTGCTATATAGTTTTTAATTATTTTAAATTATATTGCTGGTTTGGCTGCTTTATTTTGTGATGTTTTGTTATTGCTCGTTTTGATTGTAAGCCACCCAGTCACGAATGTGTGATTAGTAGCCACATCAGTTGATTGATTGAATAAATAAATCCAGTTTAAACCAGCATTATTATTCTGCTGCATACCTTTAAATCCCTGCAAATTATTCTTGCTTCCATCCATCATGCTTCTTTCTGCTTCCTACACTGTCTTTTTTCTCTTTAATTTTCACTGTTTTTCATCATCTCAGGGCTTTCATAAATCACAACATAGTCTTCCCCTTCCTGATCGCTTTGCTTTTTTTGTGATTTGAAACTACCCCAATCTACTTCTTTTTTAGTCCTAATTTATTCATTCAGTCAGTCCCCATACACTCTGGACTTAATCTCTTCTTGTCTAACCACATGCCCTTTTTAAGTATCCCATTCCAACTGCATTCAATTTGCAATTATATATTGGTTGACAACCAGTTTGATGTTGGGGTTAATAAGTTCCCTTACGCATGGAAAGCCTACTAGGTTACTTGGGCCAGTCACTCTCAGCCAATCCATCTCACAGGGTTGTTATTGTGGGGGAAATAGAAGGCGAGAAATTGTGTATTGTAAACCAAAGAAATCAATATTTAGCTGCATATAATAAAATGGTCAGAAACATGCTTTTATACAAGGCTATTTCTTTCAACAAATATTTTTCAAAGAGGCCATATTACTTGCTACTTTACCAGCAGAATGTCTTATGTTAAAACATTCTACCAACATAAGCACATTCCCAAGAAAAGGGAGAGGCTCTGCCATTTATTTATGACTTGGAATCATTCTCTCAATTTTCCCTGTCAAACATAACTGCTTGGGAGTTTGATACAATAATTTTCAGATCTCTATCCCTTGTTGCATCATATAATCTACCTAACATTTGCTGCAAACCATTTGGGTTCTCTACATACAAAGTACACTTACCTTCACATTCACAACTAATATGCCTTTAACATAACCACAACAAGCATCCCTTATACCGTACATTGTCAGCCATTCAGCCATGTCTGACCCTCGGCGACTCTATAGCTCAGCATTTTAAAAAACCCCAGAGGACATTGTACATCCCATATCCTTATGTCTGCTTTATTTTGTATTTAGAAATCAACCTTCAACTCAGTTTCATCTGCAGGAAATAATTATGATGTGGTGATGCTTACAATTCTCTCATGATACCAAGAAGTTAAGTCTTGAGTAATGACATCCTTGTGCGCATTCTGTCATTTGTCCTCTTTGTATCTGCCCATATTTAGCCTGTTGAAAAGGAAAACTTACATAGCATAAAGCCCCATTGCACTTTGTAAATTTTGCTCCTTGTGGCCTGTGCTACTTACTCCATTAGAATTCTGCCAAATGCCTTCCTAAGGCATTAGATTAGACAAACTAACCCACCTGTGGTTTTTACATTCACTCACTTTATCTTGTCCTTTTTGGTGGAAAACAGTAACTGTATTCTTTTCCGGTCCTGAGGCATGGATGAAAGCTTTACACCCGACCGTGCAGTCTTTCCACAAGTTTGTGGAAGTGTTATGTGAACATTATCAAACTTTAACATTTCTTCAGTTATATGTTTTTTGCTTTTCTGTCAGACTTCACCTGATAGGCACTCAGGAAACAAATACATAAGGATACCAGGACTCAAGAACTGCAGTTAAATTAGTTTATTGTACAAGAAACAGTAATGTCATTACAAAATAAATTTGGCAATTGCTGTTTTTTTCCCCTAAACCAGCCCCAATACTCACTGATTTATCTTGATTGTCCTCCACTACCTTCAATCAACTGATGTACTGCGGCTCCTTTTCAGCAGGAGGCCCAGTTTCTATCTGTCGTCTGTCGTTTAAATAATATAGAGTCGGGATGTGAGATTTCTCTTTCATTCTGTGAGAACTGCTTCTTACACCTGCAGCCTCACCAATATTCTGCACCAATTCTTTCTGGGACACAAACTGTTTTTGTATTATTTCAATTTCTTGGACAAACCATGTTTAAATCATGGCCAGTGTGATGTCATTCTTAAGTTGAGTCATAAAGGTGCATTGATGACGGCAGGCATAGTTGTGAGGATAACTAGACTATTTTTCCTCTGGTTATATACTGTTTATTAATTATTATTATTAAAAAAGCAGCTCAGCTAATGGAGTATTTTGCCAATGCCTATATAATAATGGCTATCCTAAAATAACCAATTTTAAATTAATTACCATAGTAGAATAATAGCAACTAAGCTAATACTTAATATTTTCAAAAATTGTTTACTATAATATTATGCTACCTAATATACCAGATAAAAATCTGGAAAAAAGTTCTGAGAATGGTCTGTACAATTTCGATCTTAGATACAATTACTATTTTTTAAAAAATCACAAGTTCTTTATAAAAAGCGAAAATATACTTTACAAAATCAACACATTGTAATGATGATTCATAGTCCATTTCTATCTTTAAATAATTATCTACATTAAATCTATAATTTAACTTTCATTTAATGAATATAATCCCAATACCTGAATTTAACAGTTTATGGTTTTTGTTTATAAGAGTGAGTTAGATGCCAAGGAAGTATGGATGGCAAAACTGAACACTGTCTTGCCTCCTTCCGTTCTTCTCTGAAGGAATACTTACTATATATTTTATTTTTAAAGCATGTTTGTTAAAAATATATATTTAACAAATATATATAGTATAAGACCCTCAGGTAATTGCTTTGATTAGTGTGAAAGAATTTCCATCACATCTGATTGCAAAAGGTAGATTATAAATTCATAGTATAGTGGCCTGGGAGTAAATTTCCCAAACTGTAGTATACGTTCACTGCTATTTATTTATATTCATATGCTATGACTTTTTCCCCAGACCCTCCCTATTAAGAGATCCCATCCCAGGTCCCCTTCCAGAGAACTAAAATACTCAGAGTTTCCTCTAAGGGAAAATGCCCTTAGGTAAAATAAAGTTAGCTGTAGCGACTCCTCACAGTGTTAAAAGCGATCCAATAAACTCTGCTTCTTAACACGAAGCAGGATCATAAATCCCAGAGACCTTACAGCTCAAGCTATGTTTGCTTAGCTGCTATTTAATAACAACAGCATTTAGGCTTACATACTTTACATGCTTTACATCACTCTCTGGGCAGTTTACAATGTAGAAGCATTATTTGCATATTGACCCCAACAATCTGGAAGGATGGAAGGCTGAGTCAATCTTAAGCCCCATCAGGACTGAACTCCAAGCTATGGGCAGAGTTTGCCTGCAATATTGCACTTTAACCACTGCACCATCAAGGCTTCTGGTCTGTGCCTTGCAAAAATTGTGCTTATCCAGAAAACAGCAGCAAGAAATCTTGAGCTGTACCCCATACTAAACACAAAGGGTACCTAAACAGGGATTATTCAATGGTCCCGATACGTATTGATGATACACATTACCCACAGAAGAAAAATGATACACCAAGAACAATTAAAGAAATACTTTCCCTACTGCGCACCCAGCATGAGAAGTGAAAATTTTATAGATGCATCCGGCATGGAAAAGCAGGAGGTCAAAAAGCATGACATTTCTAGCATTCTTATCCTAGGCTGTCATACTGCCGCCCTGAACATTTGATTGGCCCATTTTAAAAAATTAAGAACCTTATCCTTCCTCACTTAGAGACTGCCTTCTTCTTCCCCTCATACACAGGCAAATGCTCCCCACTCAGGGGTGGGATCCGACAGGGTTAACTACCAGTTCGGTCATTTACGAGGTTCGGTGATTTATTATGTTCTTCCCTGCAGCTGCCCTGGCGCTTGCCTGTAAATCGTCATCAGCATGCTGTGTGCAGAGAAGCAGCCTTTCAAAAAGCCCTTTTTTCTTGCTTTTTTTAACTGCAGCTGTGCCTCGCATGGCAGCTGAAGTTGAAAAATCAGGAAATAAAGGTCAGGTAAGAGCCTGGGTGGGCGGATGGGCAAAAACATCAGCAGACATAGAACTGGTTCTATGTCTGCTGCTCTTCAGAACTACTGGTTCTACAGAGGTGGACAGAACCGGTAGAAACCCACCCCTGCTCCCACTAATTTGTACTGATGGGGCTGTGTTTTAGAAAGTATCTGTCGCATTTGCTAGTGTGACCATCACAGCCTCGAGATGCTTGTGGCAGACGTAGGCTATAAGCCCTCCTTGATTTGCCCAGCGCTCAGCACCCACAGCGCCCTCTATGGGCTTGTTATAGGTCAGTTCAGGCAAATTCTTGTGTTGCCCAGCACGCCAAACCTTCAGGGCTGCTGAAAGATCGATGATGCCTCCACCGAGGGCTCGCAGAATGGCGTGGGGCCCACACGAGTCCCACTTGAAGGTGCTGCCTTCGGAAAGCACGTAAGCATCGGCAAGGCCCAGGGCGACACACAGCATCTTGTAGCCAGCACCCGAAGCAAAGCAGAGCCTCTCACCGTATAGAGGGGCCAGCGCTTTCTGCAACACAGTGGTCTCATTGCTGCTCAGCACCACGCAGGGGGAAGGCTGGTGCCGGGGTTGGCTCAGCGAGCTTAGCTTGGTGCTTCCATAGGAAATGCCCCAGTGGTATTTGCTCTGCCACCTGCCAAAGAGAGAAGGTCAGGGTAGCTTTGCTAAGAAAAGCGCCCACCATTATACAACACTAAGAAGACAGAGGTGAAATAGCAGTCACTCTTTCTCAGCCCAATCTACCTCACAGGATTCCTACTGTGGGGAAAGTAGGAGGCAGGAGTATTATAAAGAAAGCAAAGGTAGGTATCAACAATAATAAGCTTTTGGGGTGTAACCACAAAACAAATGGAGCACCATTGGAAGACTATCGGTGCTGACAAAAATCACCATTGGTCAATTGCAAAAGGCAGCTTTGCTTGGAACAGCTTACATCCTGTGACAATATTTTTAACACCATCAAATAACATCTCCCTATGCCAGGTCTGTGGGAAGGCCTTGATAGGTGGATAAAAATGCCAAATCCAGTCTTAACATCTGGCTGGCTGTGCGACCAGCCATAATGATTTTACTGCTTTGAGAAAAAGCCTTGAAGAAGGTGACCAAGGTGGCAGTCAATATTGCACAAGGATAGGAAGAAGCATGGAAGGAACAATGCTGCTGTTTAGTTTTGAAAAGGGAAGCTGGGGCAGAAAGGCAAAGAAAAGGGAACATTACAGGAACCACCCAGTAAACTATTTTCATACAGTCACTGATTTTGTGGCAGAAGCACTGCTTCTTCCAATCACTGCATTATCCTTGTGCAATACAGTACTGACTTCAGTCATTTTCTTCAATTCCCTCAAGGCTTTTTCTCAAAACAGTAAAATTATTATGGTTGGTTGCACGGTCAGCCAGATGTTAAGATTAGTTTTAGAATTTTTAATATGCTATACCTGTGACAAAGTCTGGGCTGCTCCTTAGGTATAACAAAATGCAGATTTTGTTAAAAGCTCAGAGAAGCCCAAAGAAGAATGTTCATTTGAGCTCTTCTTTCTTTCTTTCCCATCTTTCTTTCCTTCTTTTCTTTCTTTCTTTCTTCACTGCATCTTACACCAATATAACTTTTGTATCCATTGTTTTATGCTCATTGAAGTCAGTGGCCCAAGAGTATATAGTGTGAGCAATATGAAATACTGTTATACTTCCTGGGATTACATTTTGATTCGACTCCCTTAAATAAAAAATATTGATTCATCTGATTGTTTCAAACAGGGGCTTGTTCTCTGGATAAGTCCATCTTATAGAAAAGAAGCCTGCAGTCCTTTTCCCATTGCCCCTCTAAAGTCTGTGATTGGAGGTCCTCCCTTGGAGGCAGGTGCTAGATCAGCAGGCAACTCAAGGGCAATATGAGTGAAAAGAAACAGCTCCAGAACAACCATGTAAATTTGTACCAAGCCTGTGTCAGCCATATAAGGCAGATCAGGCTAAGGAACCAATGCCACATAGGACTACTTTTATTGTCACAGCTATAGCAAGAACATTTCAATATGCCCCCCCCCCACTTTATCTTAGTATGAAATATGGAGGGACATGTGTGAAGCATTTTCTCAACTTAGTTTCTCAAAATAGGCTCAAGCTGCACTTGTCTGATTGTTGACTTGGTAGCAGTTCTTCCTCTATCCTTCAAGTCACTCCTGAGGCCAGAGGTGGGCAACTATGGCCCTTTATGAACAATGGACTTCAACTCCCAGAATTCCTGGACTTCTTCAGGAATTCTGGGTGTTGAAGTCCACAGTTCGTAAAGGGCCCACAGTTGCCCATCTGTGCCCTAGGCCCTCTTCAGCCTGCTTCATCTTTCATTGCCATTCATGTTGATGTACCATAAAAAGAAGGTGAGAAATCGACTTCGGGTTTGGGCTTCTTTGGTGACGAATCAAAATCTCAATTGTCTGTGGTTTTGATCCGTGCTCGCTGCTGGAGTGCCCCGAGCTGCCCGGATTCGGGGCTGAAGCCACCCCCTAGAGATGGTGAAGAAGGGGGAGCTGTCAGCGGGGTTGAGGAGAGCTGTATCTCTCCTCCTTGGCTGATCATTACTCCCTTTCCCAAAGGCGGTTGCAGCGGTGGTCAGAAATGGCCACCTCAAAGAAGAACCCGACTGGATAAGATTGTGCAGGAGGAAGTTTAAAGGAGAAAGTTTGACTGACTGGGTTGAATGGAGAACATCTATTAAAGGTACCAGGAACCTGAATTTTAAAGAGTAATACTATTCCTAAAAAAGATTTTCAGCTGTGAAAGAGAAAGGGAAAAGAAATGGAATTGGCTTTTTTTCCTCTAACATTGACAGTTTTCACTGACACAGAACATTAAGAAGAAGAGATTCCAATAAGAAATTGATACTAATCCATTTTGACATTAATAGGCTATTTCTAGCTGAAAATAAAGTGTCAAAGGGATAAAGATTCTTGGATAATTTAAAAACTTTCTTTAAAAAAAAAGAAAGAAAGCAGCGAAGAGAAAAAGGAAAAAAAAGGGTGGAATCTGGAAAATGGAGGAGACTACTTGGAACTTAAAAAAAATTGATCATGGAATTTTAACAAGGCTTGCAAAAGATACATTGTACCTGAAACTTTGTTACAAGAGAACAAAGCCCCTGTAAAGAGAAAGTGAGAAAAGAAGCAAGAAACAGTTTTGAATTATTGGATGATTCCTGGAACTTTGGATGGAGGATCCTAATGAAATAAAATAAAATCAACTGGGGGTTGTTTAGAAATCTTTAAAATGGCATCACTCCTTGAAGAGTTAAAAATGAGACTTAAAGAACAAAAAGAAGCACAAGACGGAAGAGGATCTTTTGGCTTCGTATTTCAATTTTTAGAAATGGAAATCTGGAACTATGAAAAACAACAAGAAACGCTGGCAGAACAAGAAGGACGGGACAACGAAGAAGCCATCATGAATGACCAAGCAATTTTAAGCGGGGTAAAAAAGGGAAAGGGGGAAAAGGAGTTAAAAACTTAAGTACTGAAGCAACAACCCCCCAAAAAAGTAATTTGAAAAGTAATCATAATATCAGGAAGAAGCAGAAGGGAGGATCACAGAAGGGAGAATCAGATAGAAAAGGGAATAAAAAGGGGAGGGAGAAGAAGAGAGGGAAGAGGGAAAGGAAAAGAAGCTATAAAAGACAAACAAGATATACAGGTACAGAATTAAAGGTATAAGCCTATTTAAAAGACACAGAGACAATGGTTAAAATTTAACTTAAGGAGAGGATTCTGAAAGGTGCATGGGATAACATTGTTATATAATATGTTAGATGATTAAAGTGATAGAAAAGATTTCTATTGATGTGCAGTGGAATATTTATTTGTAAAGAGAATAAGGCTCTCAATGATTTAAAAAGAACGTTTAAAAAAACTGAAAAGAAACATGGAAGATTTTTCTCAGTTGATAAGGTGAACTTGAATAATAATAATAACTTTATTGACTACTGTTAATAACTATTGTTTGGCTTTTTATTTAAAGACAGTAATAAATAAAATATGAAATATAGAATATTAAAGTGAAAGACAACTGATATTACTAGGTAATGTTTGTTAAAAGAAATAGAAATGTAAAAGATTGTTATTAATATTAATGGCAGAGCTGTACTTGAATAGAATAATTATTCCATTTACTATTGTTATACATATATATACAGATATATATATATACATATATACACAGATATATATATACATATATACTTTTTTCTTTTAAGAATTTAGTGTGTATTTTAAGGGAACGTACCAAGCAGAATTCGATTGAAAATAGGTATGTGTTATAAAATAGAAGTTAGAAAATGAATGTTATAACTGTAAGGATGTAACTTAAATTTTCAAATAAGATTTGAAAAAAGATACAAAGGTGTTACACTCCAGTCAAGTAAATACAGGAGAAAATTTGTTTTATGAGAAAAGATAATATGAAATTGTAAACAGGACAGACGAAAGTATAAAAACATTGATTAGAAAGATTTTAAAAATTAGAAAAAGATATGTAATTGAATTAAGAAAGGAATGAGATAATTTAAAATAAGGCTATAGGAAGTAAAGAAAGGGAAAAGCTATTGAAAAAATTGTGAAAATAGTTATAAGATATGGATTAGAATGTATAAGATAAATATGTATTGAGTTTATGTCTGTATGGAGAAGTGATAACCCGGGGCCACGCTGTTCTCAAAAAAAGATATTTTATTTGTATTTGCATGTTTTGTGAAAACGTAAATAAAACTTCTATTAAAAAAAAAAAGAAGGGGAGAAATCCATGGCTAAGCCCTTCATAATTGTTGGGAGAACCAACCTGTAGGGAAGATTTCCCACAATGCTATTGTTCCATGTAGGAAAGATTGACCCACGGTGTCACTGTTACCTGTGTGTTGCCAGCTCCTCCTGAAAGAAAGGCTCATTGATGATGCCAAGGACAGGCTCTCCCGAATGACGATTGTATACTCCTATCAGCACAAGCGCTGAGTGAAGTCCAGATGGATAGATGCCATTCACAGGCATCACACTGCCACACCCACGAATGTACTGATTAGTGGAATCTGAAAAGAAAAAAGTAAGAAAGGGAGAATTCCTTCATTCCTTCAGCAAGACTCAGCATTGGAACAATAGATGTCAGAGTGCTCCTCACTAGAACAGACTTTAAAAATATTATCAACTCTATTACTCATCAATGTACTGTATACGGGATACAGGCTAGGAAAAAAAGCTCCCAGAAAGACAGGGGAATATCACTATTGGAAAGGAACATGACTGGATGTGATAGCGCTCAACTCTCTTTTATATAATCCAGTCCATACCACATACAGACAGTCCTCAACTTACAACAAGTTCATTTAGTGACCCTTCAAAATTATAAAGCCACTGAAAAAGTGACTGTTTTTCACGCTTATGACGGTTGCAGCATCCCCACTGTCAAATGATCAAAATTCGGAGGCTTGGCAATTGACTCATATTTATGATAGTGTCCTGGGGTCATGTGATCACATTTTGCGACATTCTGACAAGCAAAATCAAAGGGGAAGTTAGATTCACTTAACAACCAGGTTACTAACTTAACAACTGCAGTGATTCAGTTAACAATTGTGGCAAGAAAGATCCTAAAACAGGGCAAAATTAACTTAACCACAGCCTCGCCTAGCAATAGAAATGCTGGGCTCGATTGTCATGTCATGTGGCCGGCATGACTAAATGCCGAAGGCGCATGGAATGCTGTTACCTTCCCACCAAGGTGGTCCCTATTTTTCTACTTACATTTTTATATGCTTTCGAACTGCTAGGTTGGCAGAAGCTGGGACAAGTAATGGGAACTCACTCCGTTACGCGGTGCTAGGGATTCAAACCGCCCAACTGCTGACTTTTCTGGTCGACAAGCTCAGCATCTTACTCACTGAGCCACCGCGTCCCTTGTGGTTGTAAGTAGACGACTACTTGTAGACAAAAGTCAGCACTAGAGAAAGACTGTATGTAAATGGCTTCCGGTGCCCAACTTTCATCCGCCATTTTATTTACCTATGGGGTCAATCCATACAGCCAAGCTCTCTGTGGAGATGGTCACATCCACATTGTCCAGTGCTGGGTCTGAAAGCACTATTTCCTGATGAACCGCAGATGCCAACAATTCAGCTGCCATCTGTTTCCGATCCAGGACTTTCTGCAGCAGGGCAGCAGTTTCCTGTTGGGTGGGGCAAACCCGCACCACTACAATCTCACCTGCAAAGGCAAATAAAGTTCAGAGACTGTTCAAGAGAGCCCCTCTACTGATCGAGGGACCTTTCACATTTATTCCCAGAGTCTTATATATTAGTCAAGCAATCAGAATTATTATAATGCCCGCACTTCTTAAGACCATTCTGGGAGGAACTCTTAAGTTTCATTAGAAGCTTATCAGAGGCTCTCTAAGAAGGCCCATAATGATGGAGAAGTTTCCTTGAGATACAGCTTGTCCTTTTCCACCACAGTCTGTGCTACGACAGCCCACACTGTAGTAAGTGTGCGAAAAGATAGAAGATGGGATGAGATGTAGGATAAAAGAGTCTGGGGTGGAGTTGAGAGGAATCAACTTGGAGTAGGTAAGTTTCCCCAAGCAGTCTAAGTCCAACCCCTCTTGAATTCTTATCTAGCACCAATTTAGTGCTGATGGTTAGTTGACTAGATTCTTGTGTATAAGCAAGAGCAATAAATCAGCTGAACTGGAACTTAATGTGTGGTCCTGATTCTTCGCACCTGACACCCAGGATGGTTTATATCAATAATATTTATCTTTAGGTTTTTTTTTGAGATGTGACTTAAAAAAAGAACGAGGAATGGGATACTCAGATGTAACAGCATGCAGAATTTCTGCTCTTCTGACAAACTCTTAAAAGAAGGGAGGTGCAGTATTTCTTGGCAGTAAAAAAGACTAATCTGTTGATAATTTCCTCTGCTGCAGAGCAATGTTAAAACCTACAGAAGCCTTGTCCTTTTTTGCCCTTATAGGGCAAAATTTACAGCTTGGCACACTCTAAAATATTACCTTACTCCTAACAATTGCCCAATACAGACATTAGGCATATTCTTCTCTATGAGTAAACAGTGGACGTTGTAGCAGTTTAATTCATGTGAACATCCTTAACATGAAGAAAACTGTCTTAGAAAGGAAAATAAGGAAATGGCTATGATTTAGAAGGAAAAAAAAATCCTGGCACCAGGCATTTGATTGTATATTTATATGACAGCGAGAATTTTGGGACATGTTCCTCCTTCATATGAAGCTCCAGTAAGTCTAGTCGGTGCTCTTCCTGAAATGGAAAGTCTTCTAAAATATTTGCCCCAAGTCTCTCTGCCATTTTCTGGGATTCTTATAAAGAGCAAGACATCTTTGCAGGGACAAAGCTTGCAAAAGGCCATCAGGGTAAACCTAGGACAGGTGACGGAAATATTTCTCTGAAGAAAATGGAGCTGAGAGAAGGAGAATGACTTGATTACCCAAAAAGAGGACCAAGCATGTCAGAAGGGCAACCTGGCTCTATCTAGCTCCCAAGAGAGGTAATGGGGCAAGGACACACAAAATTCTTAGCCACTGTTCCAGGAGGAAATTTTAATCCCACGCATTTGGAAGGAGTCCATTTGGGGAAAGTTTATTTTAGAGAATATGTTGGCATTCCCTCCTCCCTGTGCTGATTACTCACCAAGGCCATTTTCAAATTTGTTGGACTCCTCGCCACAAATGTGATCTTGTAGTTCTGGAAACTGTGAACAACAGTGAGAAAGGGTAAGGAAAGAAAAGAGGAAGTGAAGGGAGGAAGACGAAAGTACACTTTAACCTAGCTGACAAGCCTGATCCAAGTTACAGCTATTCTGGGTTCAATGATTCTGCTGTGTCCGGTTTCAGGTTGATCCTCTGGATGAGAAGGAGACAGCTGCCTGTCACCTCAGTCCCAGGCAGTTTGGAGTACCACTCCTGGCACCTTACTTCAGGGTGAGCGAGGACTGAAGAATTAACAATCTTGGCTATAGCCATTGTAGTTCAACCACGAATTTAATATTCTTCTAAGCAAATCAGCATCTCTAAGTCTTTCCTGCCTCCACCGTGCTGTAAGAATAATAATGCAGGCCAACTTTACGTGGCTTTCTGAGGAGTGAGAAATGATGTGTGAAGAGTTTGGGATACATGAGAACAGCTATTGCACTCAACCGCAAACAACTGAATATACAGTATTATTCAAATGGGTGATAGATCAAGGTCCATTCTCAGTTCCCATCTGCTCCTACTTTTGCAAATGCAATAGGTTTAGCCATTGCTTTCTGTTGCTATTTGTCTTTAGAATATAACATGTTAGAATATAGGAGTTTAGAGCAAGGGTCTTCAAACTTGGCAAGTTTTAAGACTTGTGGATTTCAACTCCCAGAATTCTTGAGCTAACATGACTGGAGGAGGAATTCTGGGAGTTGAAGTCCACAAGTCTTAAACTTGCCAAGTTTGAAGCCCCCTGGTTTAGAGAAAGTAGAAAAGCCCCTTTGATTGACACTGGAGAAGGAAATTGCTTAAATCCTCTAGGATAGGAGTTGCCAACCTTTTGGACCTCAGGGACCACCAAACTCATAATTTTAGATCCCAGGGACCACTAACTGGTTCTGTGGGCATGGCCTAATTTGTGGGTGTGGCTTGGTGGTCATGTGACTAGCTGGGCATGGCTTGTATGTAAATATTATAAATATTTATATAAATATTGAATTTTTTATAAAAAAGAGCAACTTTTACCCAAAATCAGGCAAAGCAGGCAGATTGAGTTGCTCACAGAATCATTCAGTGATCTATCTATCTACCATCGGCTACCCGAGTCTGTCACATAAAATTTGCTTGCTGTGAGTCTGCAGTGAGTAATAGAACCTTCAGTCCTAAGGGAGGTTCGGCTGTGCTTAAAAGCAGAGCCGAAGATCTAAAGACTAGCTAGAAAGCAAGAAATCCAACCATTTCCTGCTTCCTAGCTAATCTAAATCTTCCGGCACAGCAGAACTGATGATGGTAGGAAAAAGGAAAAATAGCAATTTAGCAGGCAAGTTTACCGGGTAAGGAGTGAGTGGGCAGTAAGGGTTCCCCCGGGCCATGTGGGCGGAGCAGCCTTGTGTTTCTGTGTAGCCTGGATTAATAGCTTTGGGGGGGTGCTCTGGGGGTGAGATTTCTCTGCGGCCCACCAAAATTTTCTCATGGCCCACCAGTGGGTTGCAGCCCGCAGGTTGGCGACTGCTGCTCTAGGATACAGCCCAATCTTCATCTTATTTTGTTTCTCACTACATAGAGAACTCTTCTCCAAGCAGTTACCTCTTTTCCCACGTCATGTTTGATGACTTCTTGGATTAGCACGTCTGCCAATGTCTTAAAGTCCTGCAAGAACTTCTTATTCTTGTCTGCACCTCTCTTCTCCTCGATGAGCAGGCTGAAGAGCGTCTCCTCTTGGCGACATAGCTGGGCAATGCAGGCAGCTTTCTCTGAGGCAGCCAGCAGGCTCCTCAGAAGAGCTGTCATGCTCTAAAAAGAAAGGGAAAAAGTTTAGAGGGAAAATGCACAAACAATGTTCACAGACAAAACCCTATATTAACTGAGGAACACTATTGGGGGTGGGGTAATGATTCTAAGAGCTTGTGTGCTGTAATGCTGGCATTACAATGGGAAATTGCATATGAAGTATCAGGCATTTCTTGTCACTATGTTAAAATTAATAAAAGAACAAATTATGTTAAGCTCCCCAGAGTCACCTGTGGTAAGATGGGTGGCCAATAAATTTTACAAACAAACAAAATATTTTAACTAGAATGAAGGGATCTAAAAGATAGCAGCATCCAGCCCTTTTTGGCTGATCTTTTCCCCTGACCCCTAAAACCTTGACCTTGAAAAGGGTCAAACCTGCTTGGATTGAAAATTACCAGAAGATATTGGGGAAACTGGACAAGCCTCCAGAAAAAAGGTAGCGGTAGATCAATTTTGTACTGCTTCCAAGAACATAAATGTTATCAATATCACCATCAGGGTGTGGGAGTTTTTATTAATCAAACAGAAAAATCTTTGAAGTGAAATGTTGACAATTTTGTTTGTTGTTGGGGATAGTTGAGGTAATACATTTATTATTGATTTTGCCTTTATTAAGTGAATGCAAAATAAGAAAAAAATACAAAACAATTTTAGGAAAAAAGTTCCAAATGAAAATAAAGGAACAATAATAGATTCATATTGAAGAGCTCAGCTTCCCAGTTTGATGGGGAAGGAAGTAAGATTTACTGAGTATAGTAAAGTGATTTAGTTTTTGGTTACTGCATTTTTTTCTAGGTTTGTAAATATATTATAGCAAAAAGAATCTACCTATTACAAAGAAGGGAACAGAAGAAATCTATTGTTAATCTCTGGATGATTTGCCCTCAGCTGATAAGATTTTCTAAGCTCTGTTCAATAACTGCAGTTGTATTGTCCTGTTTTTATCTTACAATATACAGCTGAAATTAAGAAAGATTGGAATAAATGCAAACTGATTTTTGCTGAGATTCAATTTTTTTTCCTGCTACTCAGGGTTCAAAATTTAGGAAGCTGGTATTATGGCTTAACTCTGCATTCTCATTTTTGACATTTATATTTATCTCCCCTGTCCTTTTCTCCCTAAGCAGACCAAGGCTGTCATTGCCCTCAGTAGCCATGTAAAGAAGGAAAAGCTCTGGACAGTAACTAGCTGAAGGCCACCCACTTAGCTTCATGGCTGAGAATGAAAATCTGAATACTCTTTTTATTTCTACCTTGGTCTCTAGCCAGTACACAGCTACCACAAATTCCCGTAGGTCAAGTTTTTAAAACTTGGTGCAGACAAACTACATGTTCATTAACCTCCTGTTGGAAGAAAAATCCAGGTCCACTTCCAAGCTGGGAATAAAATGGAGGCTAATTGGAAAGATTCTATTTATTAATGAACAGAACCAACACACACACACACACAGAGTGTGCAGTTCTGGGACAGCTAACAAAATGGAGTTGAGAGTGGGTTGGTTATAGAATAGAATAGAATAGAATAGAATAGAATAGAATAGAATAGAATAGAATAGAATAGGTTTATTGGCCAAGTGTGATTGAACACCCAAGGAATTTGTCTTGGTGTAAATACTCTCAGTATACATAAAGAAAAGATACATTCATTAAGAATCAAGAATCATAACGTACAACACTTAATGATAGTCATAGGGTACAACCAAATTTTATACCTTCTTTGGGTTTTATATTTAAGATTTCTATTCCTGTGCAAGAACATGTCCTTTAATATTCTAACGGCTGTTGTCAGATTCCTTTAGGGTGATGGCTGGCTCTATAGGCAAAGTGGGGAAATGTTTTTTTTTGCTAATCTCCTCAACCTAACTGTTTATCTGGAGTTTCTGTCTGGACCAGTCTTTCTGAATGGATTACCAAATCTGCATTTGTAAATGCAGTTTCTGCTTGGGGCTGGTAGACTGCTGCTGGTTCCTGCCTCCCTTAAGATTCCCCACTCCCATTTCTCCTTTAGGGGAAATATTCTACCAGGCCTTTTTAATATTCCCCCAAAGATTTCATTCTCTAGGAGGGTGGGTGGGCACTGACTTTCTATGCCCTCCCTCCCCAACTAAAACTACAAGGCGGGGGGGGGGGCACGACAACATTTTGGCACCAGAGGAAAGGACTGCAAACACATCCCCCTCCCCTCCCTTAGGCCAAAGCTGACAGGGATCTTAGTTGTGGATGGTGCAAGCAAAGAAAGGCCCACACAGTAATGGTCCTCCACCGCAGGAGACAAATAAGCAGCAGGGAAAAGGAGATCAGCGTCTGAAGGGCAACACGGCCTCCTAAAGCATCTTTGAGCAATCCTGCCTGGCCTTTTCGCGTGGATTTAGGCGAGCCAGCAGCAGGAAACTACTTGAGAAGGCCGGCTTCCCGGGGTGCCAGAAAGGCGCGGAAGAGACTCCTTTTCCACGCGTCACCTTCTCTGCCTGAATCCTCCCGTCCCCGCCCCAGCGCAGCGCCCCGCCACCTCTGAGTCTGGACACGCGCAACCCAGCAGACCCCACTCCCCGCATTCGTGGGGGGGGGATTAAGAGCGCCTTCCCTCCCCGGTACCGGAGACGGTAAATCAGTCAGCCCACGGGCCAGGCCACAATAACGCCACCTCTGCTAGCGCAGAAATTTACGAGCGCGTTGTTTTGCCCCGCTTGGCAGTCTCCGAGCCGGGCGGTGAAACGATCTGCCACTCAATGGGCGCCCAACGCAGTCCTTGACTCAGGCGTCCGATCAGCCGGGGATCGATCCGAGCGTGGGGTGGGGGGACCAAACAACACACCTTTTCCTTTGCTTCCTCGCCGGACCGTCTTCTGGCTGGGGCTAGAGCTCGACGTAGTTTTAGTCACGTTCGTTCCGGAGCAAAAAGAGACTGGATGGTACAGCAAACTCAATCGGTCCGATTTGATGTAATTCTTTGTTGTGCTCGTGGGCGTAGAAACTGGTGGCGGCGCAAAGCTCAGATTCACTCCTTTTTTTGCGTTTGTATTTCCTGATTCAATTCTATTTGCGACTCAAATCTTCACCGAAATACCTCAAGACGGAACGACCTCCCCTCCGCCGAAATGAAAGAAGCATTCAGTACGCCGATCTGTTGCATCTGGATCAATCCACTACTGCTCTCATCCTGTAACACAGCCAAGCGCTTCCTCCTCTCACCCCAACGTAACTAGGCTAAACACATAGGCTTTCATGCACTGCAGCTCATTTCATCAGATCCGAACGATGGTCTACATCCATATAACATCAGATGAATTAAGATGCAGATCCGGAAAAAAGTGATGTAATCCGATTTGTTAGTGCGCTATCAGTCTGTTTCAGGTGTTTAGCTACCATATACTACAAGGCTCACTGTCTAGGCTGATAAGTAAGGAATTATCTAAAAAAGCAACCAGAGCCAGGCCTTCTGTGGGCCAAGACTCTTAACTTAATTCTTTAATCTATTTCTCTGTCACGATATGGTGCACTGTTTGCAAAGTAGGTAACCTGCATATTTATTTTGGAGAAAGCTATCCTACCTGTATCGACATAGAAACCATTGGTCTTATAAAAAGCTTCAGTTGGATCTCTATTTTCACAGGAATTTAATGGGGTAAGCAGTGAGAAAGGAAGTGTCAGCAAAGCTAGTGATTGTCAATCTAAATTTATGTGCAAATAGAAAAAAAATCAAAACATTGCTGGCAGCTATTTTTGGATGACAGCTACTGTATTATCTGACCTATCTAGATCAGAGATCTCCAAACTTGGCAACTTTAAGACTTGTAGATTTCAACTCCCAGAATTCCTCAGCCAGCTATGCTGGGAGTTGAAATCCACAAGTCTTAAAAGTTGCCAAGCTTGGGGACCCCTGATCTAGACGATGGCTAGAGCTAAACTGCAGGGTACCAATCAATCTATCACTGATCGAGAATGACAAAAAGTTCCTTAATATACTTCCACAAACAGTTCCAACTATCTGAATATGGAAACTTTCCTGATAGCTTTTGGCACCCATTGAATAATAAAGCCTAAAAGCATCATAGCATTTTAAGAAACGAACTGTGAAGGACCTATACAAGCCAAGGCTGCGCTCCTGTGCTCGTTGGTATTAAGAAGACCCTTCTTAGTGGATCTTTTTAATAGGACAGCTCTAAAAGGCAACAATACGGGTGCCTTTTCAATGCGAGGTTTATATCGAATTCAAAACAAAGCAAAGTGTGAAAAATTCAATTTCTTTTCAAACGAGCTGGAAAAAGAAGTTGTGTTGACGCGGTTGTGGGCATCCCATTCTTTTAATGCAATTCTAATAAGCATCGAGAACCGTCATTACACAAGCAATAAACGTTCCTTCGTTTTCCTTGTGTCCACTTCCGCTCACGTGATCGCCTTTATTGGCGGAATTGTGGGCAGTTGGGCTTCAAGGCGGAAGTTCAGTTTCATGCTGGGACGGCAACGGGCGTGTGGGGGAGGGGAGGTCGAAGCTGCCTCCTTTTCTCTGAGTTCGGCGCCGGTAGGCAGCAACACCGTAATGGAGGCGGTAAGTGAAAGAGAATGGTGGAGCCCGGGGGGAAGAGTTTTATACCGGATAGTGTTTCTTTTGTGAGTCTCTTCTTTCTTAATGAGAACAAGCGGCACCCCAATATAGTATACGTTTTAGCGGGATTGTTGGGGGATTGGGTCCAGATAGGTATTATAAACTTAGCATTTATAATAATAAATATATTGCTTTTGTACACTATAGCGTTGGATAGAGCTAGCAGATTAGCCCAGATTTTTCTGTAAGCGTTGATTGCATTTGAATGGTGGCCTGGTTTTTACAGCGCCTTCTAAAGTGGAGTATGATATACGTGTTTATATGTATGTTTATAAGTATGCTATAGTATTTATGTTACTTAAGATGGTAGGCTAAGATTTAGGTTTGATTCTAATCCTGGCAGCCTACTTGGGTAATTTGAGGTTACTGTAGTTAAGTGTCTCTCAGTCAAACCTTGTATTTTGGAGGAATTTCGTCTGGAGCTCCTTGATGAAAGGAAGGATGTCAGTCTAATAAATTATTTGAATGACCCCTTATTTTGGAAAAGTGAATGCCATCAAAAGATTTTGCCTTGCATTGGATGTCAGTTCTCAGCTGGAGCTTTGCAATAGTTTGATTTTTGAATTTCTTTGGGCAAGTCCTATTTTGAACAGGCCCTATAAAAAAAAGAGAGCTTTATGAGATTTCCAAAAGCCATATTGCATAAAAGAAAAACACATATAGATCTCCATTTGTATTTCTGATTTTATAGCCATGATCTTAAGCCATGATCCTATATTATACATAATTATTAGAAAATATAATACTGTAAGTCAAAGTCACCCCATGGTATAAAGCAGTGGTCACCAACCAGTGGTCCATGGACCACTGGTGGTCTGTGAGAAAATTTTGGTGGTCTGCAGAAATATTATTTGCATTTTTATACTGCACTAAATACAATTATCTTTTTAAAAGATTCATATTATTGGTCCACGGGATTTAAAATTATGAATTTAGTGGTCCCTGAGGTCCAAAAGCTTGGCAACCCTTGGTATAAAGAAGTAAGTAAGAGGAGCTTGCTTAAAAGTGTCAGAGATGTGACAAACTTATAACTTAAGTAAACTTGTATGTTTTTCTCTGTTCATTCTGAGGCAGGTCATCAGGTTGTTTTGTTATTTGACATTGTCCTGCCATGCTCATGGTATATATAATTTATCCTACCTTTAAAAAAGAGCAATTCTTAATCACATCAAGAGACCATGCTTTCATCTGTAAAGATACATTGCAATTTCTTTAAACAAAAGTATTATACCCACTTTAATTAAATTTTAATTTAACCATCAGGCAAAGCATGCTATAACTGTCTTATAAAATAGAACTCAGTCTTATAAAATAAAACTATTCATTGTAAATAAAACAACCAAACAAATTTAAAAACTTATTTTTAATAAGCTGCAGATTGAAAAAAATCTGGGTTTTATTTTTGAGACTGACCCTCTGTTTATGAATGTTTATGAATATGTGCTGTTTATAGTAGACAGACTAACACTAATACAGCATTGCAAATATTAATGGGAGAGGTTGCTACCGGAAGAGATGGTGCCATTATATAAAAGAATTGTATGGAAAGATCATAACGTCTTAGAACTATAGCCAGACATTTTAGAGGTCTAGGGAAAATAAGAAGGACACTGCATATGCAAACTACCAGCCTGTTAATGAAATACCAGAAGAATTGTTTAAAATGTTACAAGATGGTGTGTGTGGTTTTGTAAGCTTGCATAGAAAATGCAAAGGACTGAAAAAGATTGCTTTATACTAATTTCTAATGTCAAAAAAAGATTGTGTTAAAAAATGTTCAAACTACTGGTATTGAACATTTACACTTCTCTTGCATGCTTTTAAAAATAATCCTCAAGATTTTGCGATCCAAATTTCAACAATACATGGGATGAAAATTACCAGGTTATCCGTTGAATTCAGAAGAGGCAGAGGCATAAGAAGATCCTACTGCTAATACTCAACTGATAATAGAAAGAGCAAGAAAGTTTCAAAAGGGTGTCTATTTCTGCTTAATTGGTTATGCAAAGGCTTTTGACTGCATAAACCGTAATATATTGTGATAAGCCTTAAAAATATGAAAGTACCAGGCCATTTCATCAGCTCATCAAACAATTTGTATGATGACCATGAAGAACCAGTTAGAATGGAATAAG